TATTTTCCTTTTTCTTAACACAAACTTTTCAGAGACCCGGGTGATGAGACTTTCGCCTCTCAGAGTACTAGACAAATGCACACGAGTACATCTCTATGGAGTGAGAAGGACAGCTGACGAGCCGATGGCTTCCTCTCATAGCCTTCTTTACCAAGTCTGGAGGACAAACAGCATTGTATTTTGGGCCTGGGCTTTGGTCATTTGATGAATTGACCTAGTTCCCAGGCATCCACCAGTGTGGACTAAATACACCCATTTCCTCTCCTTTCTGAAGGATGTGCTGAAAGCTGCCGGAGACAGTGACAAAGCAAACGTGGAACTCCTAGGATCCCCTTACATCATAAGATACCCACTTCCCACCCCAGCCTCCTAAACTTCCCCTAATTACTCATGCCTGTGACGAGGCGGGCAGGCGCATGTAGGCCTTCCTAGGAAGGAGACTCAGGGCTGCCACTCTGCCCTTGTCTTTGTGTCTCCTGAGGAGTGTGGGCGGCCAGGTCGCAGGCTAGGCCAGGCCATTTAAGGAAAGCTGCCTCAGCTGCTGCCCGGCCCTCCCTGCTAGGTGGATATGGAAATCCCTGTTTACTCTCTGGGGCTTTTTATTGGCTGAAATGCTCACCTTGGTATCTATTACACATTTCCTTCCAAGAGCAGCCCGAGATAAGACAGGTGCGGGGACAATCAGCTCTTGAAATCTCCCAGAAGCTGCCAAAACCCTAAAATCAGCAAGAGACACCCATCATAGTCCAGACTCAGCCTTTTGGGGCTTTATTCTGCCTCACCCCAGTCTCTTTTCAGGGCATAAAGTTTTCTAAGGAGAAGAATGAAATCATTATAGCAGGTCAGTGAGAAAGTGTGGGAAGACTCAGGTTTGAACATAAGTAGTAAAAATCATGTACATTTGTTATGTTATATACATTAGTGCATATGTGACGAATTAATCCCTGGTGCTAGCTGGAGTATGGGCATCTGGCTGTCCATATTGAGTTGCTGTTTTATGCCAGCACTAGGCTAAACCCTGGGGAATATGGCTGAACATAGATATGGGGATGGGAAGAATT